AAGGCAGAGTATCCTTCTTCCAATATTGACTCACCAGTAATCTTGCTGCGGTTATTAAATTCAACATTAAAATAGTTTCTTTAACACTAAAATCCACAAAAATTCCCAAAAGAAACAGTTGGGGAGTAAACTTAATCTTCCTTTTAAAAACCTTTTGAATGTTCCACCAAATCATAATCCAGAAGGCTTTAATAACTTTACAAGTCCACCAAACATGAAAATAGGTTGCATCCAAGCAACCACATCTCCAACATTTAGGTTGCAGGTTCAGGTACATACAGGACAGCTTTTAGGATCCAGATGCCATCTATAAAACATTTTATAAAAATTTTCCCTCAAGTTCTGGGCCTGCGTAAATTTAACATTTCTAGTCCAAATTACCTCCCATAAGTCCAACGAGATCGGTTCTTGAATATTCTGGGCCCATTTAATCATACAATCTTTAACTAACTCTGTTTCTGAATCCAATTTTATTAACTCATTATAAATTCTTTTAATATGGGCACATTTCTGATCCTTGATCTGAATTACCAAATTTTCATCTACTAAAGTAATTCCCATTTTCTTATCCGAAGTCCATCTCTGCATGATTTGCAAATATTGAAACCACGATTGTAAAATATTTTCTTGCCTTAACACATCAGAAGACTTTAATTGCCAATCAGTGCCCGACCAAATAAGTAACTCTTTATACGAAATGTTGTCAAAATTCACCCCCTTAGAAACCCCCTGGATTGCTTGTCCAGGGATCCCCCAAATAGGTATTTTATAATTTAACTTATAATAATATTTTTTCCAAACTTGAAGTAAAGCATATCTTAAAATATGTGACTTAAATCTACTTTCTTATCAAAAATTAAATATGCATGCCAATCCCACCCTTCAAGAACAAGAATATCTCTATTTGTTAAATTAAGCCAATCACTTACTAAAGTTAAAGTGGCCGCATCATAATATAATTTCAAATTAGGTACTTTAAGTCCACCTCTCTCTCGAGCATCTTGTAAAATCTTAAACTTTACCCTTGATTTCTTCCCGCCCCAAATAAATTTATTAATACGCTTCTGCCACTCATCCAAATTAGCATCCTTCTTTAAAATGGGTATTTTAAATATCATTTTGATATCACTTTCAGGATAACATGAGTGAAAATGTGCATTTCATTCAGGTTCTGTTGGCACACTGGTATCTTATTGGTCATGATGGAACAGAAACATGCTAGAAACATTCAGGGTCTTTAATCTGATTCAGCATAGTTGTTGTAATGCTCCTATTGTGTAACTTTGTAGACCAAGAACAGACAAGATATGGTCTTCCACTGCAATTCCCAGGCACTTCAATCAGCATGCTAACTATCAAGAATATTAGGAATTATAATAAAATAACAGTTTCAGAGGCACATAATGCCCACATATCTAAGTGCTGAAAAAAGTAAAAATAAAATAAAGCTAACAGCTAACCAATATAATGATAGCATTATAAAGATTTCCAATAGGCTGTGGAACAAAGTAGAATTGAGACAGAAACCTTGAAAACATATTTGTACATCTTTATCTTTCATATAGTATTTTCCAATGTATTGAGCACTCTTTTGTTTTCATGAGAAATCTGAGAATTTTGCCCATAAGTGGAGTAGAAAGCTGATATATTTAAAGGGAGCCAGATATTAGCTTTTTAAAAAAATACATATTGTATGGACCACTGCAAAAAACATGAACCTGAGAATGTGGAAGAAAGGATATCTTAGTAAATGAGTGAGCTTAATAAAATTATACTCATAATCAAAGATGGATTACCATCTGCTGGTTTGTATATTTAAGTAAAGTCTTACTTTTCAAATATTTTCCTCAGAACATCTATCACTATTGTCATTATTATTTTCCTACTCAGCATTTTTAATGTAAAGTAGCTAACAACAGTTAATAAAAAATAAACAATAAAGATAAGCACTCTAGAGCAAGTAAAAGAGAAAACAGAACATATATTTTCCAAAGAAGCAGTGGAAAAAAAAAGTTAAACCCTCTGTTCCCCTCAAATATATACATACATAGTCATATAGTACATGTCAATCAGCAAAAGAAGAAACATATGTAAGAGAACAGACACATTTTTAAAAGAAAATATTCCATAATATTGGTATATCAATTGAAAAGTTCTATCCATTTGACTTACCCTGACAATGGACAACACTGTATCAGGATCTCTAATAGAAAACTTATAGTCTTTAAGCTATATAAGTTTCCAGAAGTGTTTTAAAGTAAGAACCAATATTCTAAAGAATAGCGGAGAAAAAAACCAAACCCTTAATATATTGTGATTATGTGGTATGCAATAAATGTGTTTTATCAGCCATCCTTAGAGAATACTCAAGCTACATTGTTTTTGATCCTCTAACATTTCAGGTCAGGCTTTACAGGGTCAGTCCCACCATGCTGAATCTGGACATGGCTAATACATAACTGATCATAGCCAATCAAAATAATACATTTTAAAAGAGAACACAGCTGGTATACTAGCCAGAACTGGTTATAATGTATTCCTTAGTCTTTCCTTTGCCAGTAAATCTGCAAACAACATTGAATCAAGGATCAAATATCTTAAGAGAGAATGAAACTTGATCTAATGAAAGCTGTATATTTATCCATAGAGCGACAATGTACAGTATTTTCATCTTCTGTTTCATTGTACTATTATATTTAGATTTTTTTTAAAAAAACAAACCTTTTAAATTTTCTAATGGGACTAAGAAAAGGAGACACAGAATCTCATAAGGCTAATCAAAAGGTTGGTGACACTTACACAAGAGTCAGTAGCAGAAGATAACATTTAACTTTGCTACACATCAATTTTTACCTAATTCCACAGCAGGCTTTAATTATTTTTCTAGCCATCACCAGAACCTAGGGAGGGAAAACTTTTGGGAAAGCATTTTCATGAAATATTTGTTGTTGTTAGGAAAATCTAAGTACTTCTTCTACTATTAACTATTTTCTTTCCCTTAATTATTATTTTTTACTTCTGAGTTACATTATCATAATAAATACAATGTAGTAAAATGTGTACTAAGATAGTGCTATTCTCTGCTATGAAAGCAGTTAAAAGTATAAAATATTTTTTAAAAAATTTGAATTGTAGCAAAATGTTTTATGTACTCCAATATCACTGAACTGGATTATTTCGATATGTGCTTTCCCAATATTTTAAATAAATATAACTTAAGATATACACTAATGTTTTTTTCAGAATAAAATAAAATAGGCAAGTTATTAGAACTTTAGGTTGTTGTTTATACATATTTAAGTAGAAATAACTCCATTAAAATTAGTGGAATAGGCTGTTCTTGCAGAGGAATAATGACTAGAGGGACAAGAAGAACAATTGAGTGATTCTGACTCCTAGTGCTTATCCCATCCCAAAACAATGGCTTGATCTCTTATTAAAAATCATTGTTAGTTAAATAAGAAAAAAACGGCTTATTTTACTTCACATGTAATGTGTCATTAAGAATCATGGAGACACAGAAATTTAAACTTTGTTATTAAACTTCAGGCTCTTAAGATCACAAATCATTTAAGGTCTTAAAAGGTACATATAATACATCAATCACCTGCCTTTCTTTACTTAATGACCAGTAATGGGCTGACATGTTTAGCATGTTTCCTTTCCACAAAATATACCTTTATAAGTTTTCAGACAAATTTTGAAATGTAATGTATACTTTTGGAGCACAGAGTCTATCAACAACAACTACTACTATAACTATTATTTATATAAATGTTAAGTAATAGAAAAAATAATAATTTAATCCAGTTTTATAACAGACTGTGCATTATGTTTCTTGAAATATTTTAAATTTCTGAATATTCTATTTATTTTTGAAAATTGTGCATGTAAAGGAGAAAGAACATTTATTTCTATTTGTATTATTTCCAGTCCTGGGAGGTATAGTATTTTATATAATGAGTATATAAAATAAGAATTAAACAAAGTAAACAAAGTAAAATGCATTGTGATATTATTTTCTAAACCAGTTTAGACTCACTATTAATAATTTAAAGTTGTACCTTAAGGGTGTACAGTGCAATTAATAGATTGTTTTATGCATATCCCATTTCCCCTTACACACACACACAAACACACACACACACACGGACGGAAAATTGTTCCTATTGATAGTAAAATAAATTGTTAGTAAAATAAAACTTCTAATACAATTTTTGTTTCAAATAAGTGATAAAAACTTATCCAATGCTAAAGACCTATTGAAATCACTGCAACTTGATTTCAAGTAGGCGTATATATGCTTATGTACATGACAAAATAAAAGTGAAGTACAATTAAACTGCTAACCAAGTTAACTATATGCTAGCAATCTTCATTAGAGGGGAGAGTGGCTTTTTATGCAAACCTTTCACATCAATACAAGCACTAGAACTCTGTCTGTAATGACATCTGCATGCCCAACTAACAGATGCGTCTAAGCAACTGAAGTTCCTTTTCAGCACCTGAGACAGCACTCTAAAAACTGGCTATATTCCCTTCAGTAGCTTCACCATGCAGTCCATTCTGCTGCCATCCAAAAGCTAACTGCATATGGCACACCCAAGCCAGCCATTACACTTGATTTTGCTGCATTATAACTTCCCAAATCAAGAAAAGGTCTGTCTCAACAGAGGAAATGTAGCATCTAAAACTATCAAGGGAATAGTACACTAGATTGCAGTCAAGGGACTAGTAAACCTCATGTTATCTATTGACCTGGTTTGCTTTAAACCCATGCACAAACTTTCCAACCACTGAAGGAGATACAATGGAGATGTTTTGCTAAAAGCTCTTTATCTCTCTACCAAAAGGGCCCCTTGTTCAATCTGTTTCAGCCCCCACAAATAATAAAAAAGCATTCCACAAGCTACCAAGACAAAATTCAAAATCAGATAAAAATCCATCCATTTGAGGCAACACTCTCATTTTCAGGTGGAAATAATTAGAGGTCTACTCACCATGTTGACTTCAGAGACCATGTCGATACTGGCAATATCTATGTTCATCCCGACATTCACTGGGGGGCCTTAATGAAGAAACAGACGGAGGCGTCATTTCGACATACAGTTGCCTGGCGCCTAGGGGTTGGGGGGCTTTCATCTTCCTCGGCAGAACCCCCACCCCCAACCCATTTAACTCATACCAAGAACGCCTAAGGGAGGGTTAGGGGTGCCTCCCCAAGGCCTCTCACCTCCAAAATCCGGTCTGAGGCGAATGTCGTAGCCTTTCAACAATTTATCCACAGTTTCTTTCACGAAGGACATGTTCCCAGGATCGTTCACACTGTGGAAGAAGGAGTTTGAGGGAAAGCGGGCAGGGAGGCAGGAGAGGCGGACATGAGCGAGGGTATCAGAGAAGTCGGAAGAGACAGCAGAGGGATAAGGAAAGTGAAGTAACGGGATGGGCCGGCCGGGACAACAAAAGGTGAGGAAAAAGAAGTCGAAAGGAGGCAGAGACAGCGAAGCAGGAGGAGTGAGGAAGGGACAGAGGTTGTAGGAAAGCTTTGGTCAGTTCTTTTCCTCAGCGAGGCGCAGCCTTCCTCTCCCTCCTCCCCGCCAGCCGCTGCTCCTACCTCTGGGCGCAACAGACCACGGCCACCAGGACGGGAGCGGAGAAGAAGCCGAAGAGCCTGCCTCCCCCAAAGCCCCACATCCCTCCTCTCCGGGCTCCCTTGCCGCCGCCGCCGCCGCCGCGTGCGGTTCCGGCTGCCCGAGAGCCGCTGAGGAAGAGGCGGAGGCGAGCGTCCCCTTTCCCCTCCTTCGGCACGTCCCCCCTGCCGGTAGCGCAGCAAAGCTCCTGAGGAAAAGCTGAGGAAGGCTTCTCCTCCCACTTCTCCCCGCGCGCGCGCGCCTGCTCTAACAGGACCCCACCCGGCCGCCTGCCGCGTCGCGCCGCGGCTCAGATTTGCTGTTCAAGGCACCGGCGAGATGCGGCTGCGGGCTTCGAGGGGTTCCTCCTCGTCCTTCTCCTTTTCCCCCAAGGAGAGTTCTGCCGGCCGGTGACGGCATCCATGGGTTGCCACGGAGGCACCCACGAGCCGTTTCGCCCGGACGCTTTGTCCCGATTGCGCCCACCTCCATCTCTCAAGCGGGAATCGCCACCAGCCTTCCCCGCCCCCACGGCCCCTCGCCGGTGCCGCTTTGCTGCCTCCACTGAGGCGGCAGTTGGCGACGAAACCAATCTGTGGGCGCTAGAGAGCGAAGCCGGCGAGGGGCCGTGGGGGCGGGAAAGGCTGGTGGCGATTCCCGCTTGAGAGGTTAAGCGAGCCGCGGCCGTGGGGAACAAAAACCACAGGTGAAACTGTTCCTAAGCCTTGAGAGTGGAAGAGGGCCGGTACCAGCCGCTCCCGCCGGGGCGGGGGGGGGCACTGGGTGCGGGGCTTAAGAGACCGGCCTGGCTAACCCTGGCCTGCTGTGCTGACTCCGAGCAATCCAGGGCATCTCGTAAGTCCCGCTGAAGTTCTTAGTTCACGGACTAGGGTACCTGCTCTTGCTCTTTCTTTCTTTTTTAAAATATATATTTATTATGTTTTATCAATGGAATAAAATGCAAAACAGGAAAAAACAATAAAACACGTTCAACAGTAGCATCAACAACAAAAAATGTGGACAAAAATGTAAAAGAAAAAAAATGATCCAAACATCAAATAAGTTAAACATAAAAAAAAAAATCCACCATGGCTGGATCCTGAAAAATAATAATTAAAAACTGATAAATTTTCTTTCCGTTACATAATGAGTCTGCAAATAGTTATAAACTTGCTCTTTCTAATAAACTTTATCATCTGTGATTTCTTTCCATGTCCTTAATAAACTGTATTAACATCTGTTGTGATTTCTTCATTCCTAACAGGTATGTGCTTATCTTATTTTTTGCAGCTCAATCACTTCACAAAATACCCACCATAAATCAGCAATCACGCTTGGTTTCTAAATCCCAGAGTTTTTTCTTTCCTCCACCTTCCAGAAATGATGTTGGCAGCATCCAGTCAACATCTGGATACTCTATGGCACTGATTCTCTTAAAGATGACCTAGTCCTAGAGTACTATTGAATTGCAGCACTGTGACTGTTTCCTAAGGGTAAAAACTCTCTTAGTGGACTAGTCCAGGGGCATTAGCTGCTCTGGCAGGTAGCTTGATGACTTTGCAGTTCCTCTTTATAGGAATGTTTTGGAATTTATTAGTAGTAGTCAAATGAAATATACTTGAATAGAAATATATATACAGGAGGGATTGGGAAATATAAGCAATTTATTTTATTTCCTTTTGGTGCTAAGTGAGGAAGAGATGAAATTCTTTTGTTTCTCTCTAAAAGTTGAAGTAGCTAAGAGCAGGCCAATTATGCTTTGCATTTTGTTCCTTGTATTACGTTGAATGTAATCACAAATTATTTTCCAACTTTTTTGGGGGATTTGGGAAAAAGAAATAGCTAGAAGCACAGAGATGTCATATCAACCTAGCAGCAACACCCAAATTCTAGAAACAGCAAAACCTAGACACAAACACTTATGTACTTCCTGATTAAGTGCCAGTTCTTTCTTCTGCCTTACTAAACTCTAAAAGAGTTTAGAAATTTCTTACAATTTCTTATTTCTTATAGCCTCTGACAAAAACTCTGCTCCTCCATGCCCTTATCTTTAATTAACCTTCTAGTTATTTAGGAAGCTATCTTTTCTAAATCTCCTGAAAAGTTTTAAACTTTACTTTTCTTTTGGCACAACATCTAATTTTGAGAAGTAAATTAAAATGAATTGCCAGTGAAGTCATTTTCATGAATTATGAGTGGAAGGATGCTATTCCTGCACTGAACTAAATATCAACCATAGGAAGTCTATTGATGTCTCTATGCAGGTTTTCTCCAGAGATCTCCATACTCTGTGACTAAGTGGCAGAAATGGAAAGACACATGACTTTGGAGTAATGTCTTATGGCCTATTTATTCATATGAAGCTTTTTTTTAAAGGATACAATTCATGAAGGAGATTTTTTAAATGGAGGAACACATTCTGGATAATGTGCTATCATGACTGGAAATGCAGACCTGGAGACATAACTGTCTACAACTAAATCTAGTTGGAAAATCATGTATCAGAACAAAAATTATCATTGGCAGCATTCTATATTTATTTATTTATTTATTTAAAATATTTATGTAGCTGCATATCTTACATTGAACTCTGGGCAGTTCCCAAAGAGCAGTTAAAAGAATATTGATATACCATTAATACATACATATATCTATTAAAACCACAAACATTAAAACCTGGCACCAAAATTAAACTTTCACATGCAGACATAAGTCCTCTGTCAATCTCACCTTATCCCAGTGCGTGAGGAAAAATATAAGTGCTTTTCAGAAAGGGGAGGCTAGGAAGGTAGATTTACACCTTAGTCTAAAGATTAGAATCGTGAGTATGTTCAGGGCTAAGAGATAGAGAAAATGAATATCACACTGGATAATTCATGGAATATTCATCAACTCAAAGATAACCTAAGATACAGTATTTGGCTACTCAAATACAAAATACTCAAGCATTTCTTTCTCAGTGACAGCCCAGACAAAGAGCTTATCTGTATGGTTTAGGCTCAGTTCAGAATTGACTATCCTGGCTTCACTGATGCAATCATCCACATATTGTACATCTAGAAAAGTGTGTATTAGAAATGGGGCTAGGGCAGAAAAAGATAGACAAAAAAAATAAATAAGGAAAACAGGAATGAAAAGATATGTGATGCAGAAAAATGGAAAAGGAAAGTTTTCCCCTTTCAGTAGAAATAGGATCATACAATAAAAGCTAAATGGTAGGAGATTCAGGAAACAATAGGATGTATTTTTATATATGCTTCATAAGCACTAACTTGTGCAATGAAAAACTATCATCTCATATTGCTTAACACTCTCCCCCCACCTCTGTGTGTGTGTGTGTATGTGTGTGTGGGTAGTAGGGCGGAGTGTTTATGCAAGGTAACGCTATCAATATGTTAGTCATATTTCTTTCTTAAAAGAACAAGAAGCTGCCCAGGTCTCCTTTTGCCTTTATGTGCATTCAAATTCTTTTTGAAATTTATAATTTATGTTTTCTTAAGTGAAGTATTTTTAAAAGAAAGTATGAGATTGTGTTAAAGAGATGCACATAATCAAGCACTGTGTTTTTCACTAATGTCCTATATAGACAAATTGGAAGGCAATGTAAGGTGTGAGCAAATCAACACTTAGGTTAAATGTGTAAAATCCGTTGTTGTTGTTATTGTTAGTTGCAAAGTCGTGTCTGACCCATCACAACCCTATGGACAACATTCTTCCAGGCCTTCCTGTCCTCTACCATCTTCTGGAGTCCATTTAAGCTCACACCCACTGCTTCAGTTACTCCATCCAGCCACCTCATTCTCTGTCGTCCCCTTCTTCTACTGCCCTCAATCTTTCCCAGCATTAGGCTTTTCTCCAGTGAGTCCTACCTTCTCATTAGTACTTGAGTCTCAGCTTCAGGATCTGGCCTTCTAAAGAGCAGACAGGATTGATCTCCTCTAGGACTGACCGGATTGATTGCCTTACAGTCAAGGGGAGAAGTCCAGGAGTCTTCTCCAGCACCATAGTTCAAAGGCCTCAATTCTTTTGCACTCAACCTTTCTTATGGTCCAACTTTCACAGCCATACAGTGCAACTGGGAAAACCATGGCCTTGACTGTACATACTTTTGTTGGCAGGGTGATGTGTCTGCTTTTTAGTATTCTGTCTAGATTTGCCATAGCTTTCCTCCTCAGGAGCAAGCGTCTTTTAATTTCTTGGCTGCAGTCCCCGTCTGTGGTGATCGTGGAGCCCAGGAAGATAAAATCTGTCACTACCTCCATTTCTTCCCCATCTATTTGCCAGGAATTGAGAGGACTGGATACCATGATCTTGGTTTTCTTAATGTTGAATTTCAAGCCAACTTTTGCACTCTCCTTCTTCATCCACATCAAGAGGCTCTTTAGTTCCTCTTCACTTTCTACCATTAGAGTGGTATCATCTGTATATCTTAGGTTGTTGATATTTCTCCCAGCAATCTTAATTCCAACTTTTGATTCATCTAGCCCTGCCTTTCTCATGATGTGCTCTGCATATAAGTTAAATAAGCAGGGTGACAGAATACAGCCTTGCTGGACTCCTTTCCCAATTTTGAATCAATGAGTGGTTCCATGTCCAGTTCCCACTGTTGCTTCTTGACCTGCATCTAGGTTTCTCAAGAGACAAATAAGATGGTCTGGTACTCCTATCTCTTTAAGAACTTGCCACAATTTGTTG